AAAGAACTTGAGAGTGTGAGAAAGTCACTGACTTATAGAGAAAAAGGAAGACAGATATGTGAAGACAGACAGATTGCATAAGTTATCCAAAACGTTTGGCTTTCAATAAGAGTGTAACTTGATTGCTACAGTTCTGTCCCGTGATCCTTTGAGCTATCAGTTAGCGTCCTCATGAGCTCCAGTGGAAGGAAATACTGTAATTCAGTTTCTTTCATTTTCCAGTGAACAATTTTTGTTGTATGAATATTACAATTATATTCAACTATTCACGAGTACTTAACCCTAATGTTCTGTATGCTTTGTCTACATTTCAGCAGTATTTAGTTGATATTTAGTCTTGGGAACATTTCAGAATGAAATCATCTTAAATCTCTTGGAAATACGCAACTAAAAAACGCTCCATTGTGATAATGCTTTTAACTTACAATCCAAAATACATTAATAGAATTTCATTGTGGACTGTATTTTGAGCCCTGAAGATAACCCTGTAAGAGTCAAAGTACTGTCAGAGTATTTATTTTTAGATGTTTTGGACTTTTACCTGGTCATGAACATACTGATTTGAAGATCCAAATGTATTAGAGCATTTTATGAACTGAACTGATGATATAAAGCAAAGTTACTGAAATGTGACAATTGAAAGAAACTAATCGATTTTTTCTGAAAAAGTGATCTCAGTTCATTAATTCTTTTTGTTCTCTTTTTGTACAGGAAATGTAAAAAACTTGAGAGGAGGACTAGCTTGTAAATATTAAATAGCCTACTTATTGATGTTTGCTTTGAACAGAAAACTGCTCACTTTAAATATAAGAAGATCTTTAAGCACAATTCATTTGAAATCCTTCATTAATGCATCCACATTTATATCATCTATTTTTGTTGATAATTAGAGGTACACCATTGCCTTTCATCTGACCTGGTATAACTCTATCAGCCTCAATTCAAAGTCATGAGACCAAAACAATCTTTCTAATTCAGGACATGACACTATTGGTTTTGACTTTACAAATGTGAACAGTAAAACGATGCACATGACTTGTACGTGACATAATGTGATCCCAATTACAACACTGAGCAGATTTGATCAGCTCTGTTATTAAATCAACAACTGACTATTTAGAGTGTTTAGTCTGGTGATCCTAATGCATCTTCCGGGAGAAACTATCAGGTTTTCATATGAGAAAACTGTGTTCCCTGCCGTGTACAGTTGGATGCCATTGTGAATCAGTCTGGATTGAAATCAATGATTGAATTAATCAATGGTTCTAATGATAGATAGATAGATAGATAGATAGATACATAGATAGATGATAGATAGAAAGATAGATAGATAGATGATAGATAGATAGATAGATAGATAGATGATAGATAGATAAGTAGATAGATAGATAGATAGATAGATGATAGATCGATAAGTAGATAGATAGATAGATAGATAGATAAGTAGATAGATAGATAGATAGATAGATAGATAAGTAGATAGATAGATAGATAGATAGATAGATAAGTAGATAGATAGATAGATAGATAAGTAGATAGATAGATAAGTAGATAGATAGATATATAGATAGATAGATAGATAAGTAGATAGATAGATAGATGATAGATAGATAGATAGATAGATAGATAGATAGATAGATAGATAGATAGATAAGTAGATAGATAGATAGATAGATAGATAAGTAGATAGATATATAGACAGATAGATAGATAGATAGATAGATGATAGATAGATAGATAAGTAGCTTGCACTTACTGTATAAGTTATAACATTGAACAAACTGTGAAAAAGACAATGTTTTTTATATTCTCTATATTGCCATACAATGCATTGGATGACTATTTTTGCCATGGGTCTTGTAGGCTTATACTTTCTGTATCAAACATCTAAACAAAAAACATAAATCCTATCATCATGGGACAACCACAGGCCTACCTTGTCATTTCGATGCAAAACTGATGAAGCCTATGCAATATTGTAATTACACAGTGCTGAAGATCCTGGATACAATATTACGCTCAGTGTTTTTTAAACAGAAATAAACTAATAGACTGACTTAAAAGGTCGCCGTTGTTCATTCATTTTATTTTTCCACAGCTGTTTATTTTAAAATGTGTTAAAATGTTGACGTGATCGATACAACACAAAAACAAGCAGCAGTCAATTCAAACCAAACTCTGTCATACCATTAATGTTAATATCATCCACAGAGACACGAGAGAAAGGTTTGCCAAATCCTATACAGGCTACATAACGCAACTGATTCATTAAGTGATGAGCATGTGAACAGTGCATGATCAGGGCGGAGATTACGTGACGTCATGCGCCAGGCCGACCAATAGCAGCGTGTCTTTCCAGCCTATGATTGTACAGTAAATACTATGAGCTCTGCCTCCTTCGCTCTGACTGCAGCGATGAGAAGACAGGAATGAATCGAGAGAACCCGTTGGATGTGCCCACAATAACCTTCACTCGAGCTGACATATACTCCCTCACAGTTGTTACCTTTGTGAAAGTTTTGCGGTGGTGTAGTCGAAAACAAGTAGCTTTTCTTTTAGAAAACCTGAGCAACCTGAACGCGACTGAGGAGGGAAGTCGTGGGGGGGGGGATTGTTGGCCCACTGCAGCGTGAATCACCGGAGACTCGCCTCACCGCTGGTTGATCATCCAACTGTTTTTTAACCATCGACGTGCACATCCTCACGGGACAGAAAGCAACGGGGGGGGAAAAGGACGGGAACCGAGCCCGTGTTTGATCCTCTGCCGCAGCCCAGAGGTGCGCTGTTTGGCAGAGCATGCTAAATAATGAGCCAAAGGGACACACTGGTTCATTTGTTGGCGGGGGTAAGTCAGATTTGTGCTTATGAAGTGACTGTTTTAACATTCCCGTCGTCCATTTCTTCTTTCTTGCTACCAATGTTAGATTTATATGCAGCGCGTGCACGTGCCAGAACCCCACTCAGCTGTCTGAACTTCCGCTCTACCTTTCAAAATGTAAATATCAACTGTACAGTATTTACGTAGATGCGACTCAAATCGAGTTTTTCCCGCTTAGGTGTAGCTTCAAGGGTGTAAGTGTGAGTGAAACGTATTTGTATTTCTTTAATAACTCAGACATTAACTTTTGCTTAATTCACTTTGAAATAAACGAGTTTTACTTCGAAGGCACGTTTACTTCACATCCGGGCCCTTTGCTGCTGTCTCTCGTAACTTGATAAAGTCCTGCAACGGCCAAAACGATTAGCATACCTGGGTGAGATGGAATCACGTGGATTATATATGTGTTTATATGAGTTTAATTTCATGAACACCTTTTTGTATTTATTGACTAATAATAATAATAACTGTTGAAATCCCAGCTCCTCATGCCTTTTTAATTTCCAGGGTGATGGGTTGTCACACATTGACAGCCTAGTAGGTGGGAGGTTATTGTAGGGTTTAAAAATTCTGGCAAGGTACAGGTGTCGATTTGTCACTTAACAATTCAAACTTATACAACGAGGCCAGAAAGTAAGGGACTTAAAGTGAGACTGCTTTCAGTTTAAGTCGTTACCCATACAAAAGGTGTTCAGCGATTCTCATTCACAACAATGTAGACCGGCTCAGCAACTTATTCATCAAAGAAGATGTAAGCCGAGGTGTAAATCAATGCAGGTTTTTCCCACAATGTGTGGTCTGTCTTGTTTTTATTCCATTGACCTGTGTTTTTAAGTCTGCTTTAATCTCTGCAACAAACAATTGACCTTTAAATATGACAATGGCATCACACCACAGCTCTCCTGTTATCACTGTGATCAGGGAGTCAATTTGCTTTCTTGAGTAAGAAAAATCTGATTTGTGCTACCCATAAACCCTGAGCTGCAGGCCTCTCTCTGCACTGCACACATGCTTCCTCTGACAGAGAGCGTTAGATACGTACAGCAGACGGCATAGGACTGAAAGTAGGCCAAGGGTCACTGCTGCATGAATGTGAGTCGGCCTTTTGAAAGGTAAATATAGCCGGTGCAAGTCAAAAGAGGCTGTCGCAAGAGGAATTATTGGTAGAATGGCTTGATGTCAACATAGACCACTATAGGGTTCACACCTAGTATTAACTTGACCAAAAACTTTCGTGCATTCACATGGTTAATTACAGCAAAGCACTTTCCAGCTTTGTGGTGGCTTGATTGTGAAGCTTTGTGTACACAAGTCTTACTGTATGATGCATTAGGCGGAGGCAGAGAGGATCAGAAAAGGTGCACGTGTGGCACATGGACATAGCGTTGTTCTTGGATCACGCCCTGTTGCCTTGAGCTTACGAAACATCACTGAGAGGGATAATACGGCGATCAATACGTTGTCTTTTTAATAGTTTAGAAAGTTTGATTTAATGGCTTGTTTTTATTTTGTTAACATGATGACGGAGGATTTGTCTGAGTTGAGGTCTAAGGTGTAATCATTATCCGTTTCTGTGGTTATTTTGTGATGGATTTCATAAATTGTAGTTCACGGTCACGGTCATGTTCTACTGAACTGCACCTTGACACCATAAACAGTTAACTGACAGCTCACACGTTGCATGCTCACACGTGTGCGTGCACAGAATACAAGAACTCAGAGTTATATATTGGTGTTTTAAAGAAAACTCACAGAAATGAGTGAAATAAAGACCCACTTAAATTTAAATTCAGTCAGACTTATTGGCATGAGTGTGATAATATTACCACAGCCTATAATAACGAGCAATACAATAATAGTAATAATTAATAGTAATTATATATTTTTGTTCACCCGTAACAATAATAATTATCAATAATGATATAACAAGAATAGTAATCATAACAGAATCTGTCCTCCTCTGGGAGCCATTTCTTTTTGTAGCAACCCGTCTCTACAGCCAAACTGTGCTTGATTTGTTTTACAGGTAATCTCCCAATGTGTAGTTTATTTTTGGAGTCAAGTAGCATTGTAGTTTACACTGTGGTAGAGTTGTTCCAATGATGAATATTTTTTTTCTTTTTTGATCATTTCCTTCTAGATGTGGTGGCACGGTGGGCGCTATTTTGACTTGTCCTCTTGAGGTTGTGAAGACCAGACTGCAGTCCTCCTCCATCAGTCTGTACATCTCCGAAGTCCAGCTCAGCACCGTCAACGGGGCCAGTGTGGCCCGTGTCGCTCAACCAGGACCTCTGCACTGTCTCAAGTAAGGATACGCTGCTTTAAATGAAGTATGAGTGATAATGCTATGATCTCCAAACTGGTAGTTACTCTTTTCCGAAAAGTTTGTGTGTAACTAAAACTGGTTAGGGTAGGGTTGGCTCATGTGTCAGCCTTAAGGTGTTCTTGATATGACCAATGTTATACTTAAGGTCATAGATAGAGGCTAACAAATTGGAAATAGTTTAAAGCTAGGTAAACGTTGGGGTCAGGGACGTCAGAGATGGTCAGCATGGTGTGAACAGTGGTGGTGATGCAGCTAGTGGCTTGTCAGAGGCAGTTATTGCCTCTTGCGCGTGCGTAGAATGCACAAAATAATTGGCAGTAGGCTGCTAGCAGTATGATGTTAACAGTGCTACTTTTTTGCCTGACGACGGCAGACAAAACACAATGCAGGAGTCGTTTTTTGTGGGAGCTAGCTCTGTCTCCATATGCAGTCACCATGAGCTGCTGAAGGGGGTACTGTGGGTGCTGTGAATTCAGGTCAGGCACAATTGTGCACTTTACATATAGTTTTTGTCCATGCCATTACAGTACTGTTATGTTTTGTTATGATGTATCGACTCAATATCGAATCGTGACCCAAATAATTTAAATCTAATTGTATTGGGAGGTTGTGGACAATACCCAGCTCTACTGTCAAAGCTGTGACACTGAATCTGTTTGGTGTCACAACATCCACCTAAGTCACTTTTAGAGGATACTTATCTTGATCAATGTCACCCTTTTAGTTCTCTTGTGAGAATAAAAATGACAAAAGCATAATACAAAATGGATATTTGTCTCAAAACATGACAAAATAAAGCTCCCTGTAGAAAGAGTTAGCCTACTTCATAGCCTCTAAATTGGATTTTTATCCTATTTCCCAACCTGTTTGGTGTATGTGCTAAAGATATGTGAAGCAAGTCCACTAAACGCTGCAAGCTGGGAAATTGTTTGCACTAAACAACCGTCAGGAACAGGTTTTTAATTTGTTTGGATTGTTGGTGTATTTTCTCTATGCAACATGGTGTAGCTGTGTTGTGTGGTTGTTTAGAAACCAGCTGAATCTATTCCCAAGCATTGTAACAAATACAAACTCCAGTCTGAAATCTATTCAATACAGTATTTGTTGTTGTTATTTCTAGTGTCATTGTTGGACCAAAAAAGATCATTGAAGCCTCACTACAAACTTAAAACTCTGATAGTATTAAGACAGTTGCTATCTAAAGGTGTAAAAACAATGTAAGACATTCATCATGAAGTGTTTATTTTTTGCAATGTGATTCATCTTTCCTCTTCTCTATAGACAGTGGACATTTATCAGAGAAATGAGAAGTGAAAGTGTTTATTTAGACCTATGTTGAAAAAAATTAGAATTATCAAATGGCATTTCCCAATGTTTCCCAAAGTAAGTGTAGGCTGCTGTACTTTGCTTCTGTTCTCTGGCATCACTTGCACAGTGTTGAACATAATAAGGCACGAGCTGCTTTGGAAGAATTTTCATCTGCAAAATGCATCGATTGTGTTGCAAATTTGGAATTTCCCACAAAGTTCTTCTTCAGTAATGCATTACAAGACAAATGAATACTTTTAAACATGATCGCAGATTTGCCAGGGAAAGGGTAATGAGGATTCTACATTGGCACAGTTAAATGATTGCCTGACCTGTCTGTGCGCTGGTTAGCCATCATGGGTTTTCTTACATTTGTTTGGCTACGTTTTTTTATTTGTTCTCCCTTGCTGCAGCAATAACTTGGAATGTTGTCTTGGCCTGCCTTAACTAGGCTTATTAACAGTACTGTCTTTGGGTTTTAGTTCAATAACATCGTAGCAAAGCCCTCTTTGGATTGCAGTTAATCAGGGCATTGTTTTGAGCTCAATACTGGTCTTGTGCAGATATTAAAACCAGCTTTTTGTTCTCCTTGAGACACAAAGCTTTAGCAGACACTGCACACCACTGTTACGTGATACATACTGGAGCAGTGCAGAAGAGGGAACAGCTGTATGTTTCGAGAGGGGAAAAAACTCACAGTCAAAAGTAGGTCAACTTGCAGTGACCTAGTTTTGAGCAGAGTATGTGTTTAGTCATGATTTGAGGTTTGTGTGGAGAGTGTTGTAATGTGTGTTTAGGCAGCAACTCCCTATTCATGAAAAAAATTGGTATAAAGTAAATCATCTTTGTGTACTGAAGTTTAAATCTCACTGCAAGGCTATAAACTTCACAACCCACACAAGCACAAGCTGAGCAAATTACAGCTACACGTCTGCTAAAAGAAATATCTGGGCCATGTCTGTTTTTAATCGGGGGACAGACTTAAGAAGCAGTTTATTATCGGACCCAAAGGTTCAGTTTCTTGTTTTGATTGAAGATAGTTTGCATCGGAGATTTAGTGAAATCATGCTGTACATTATCTAAAGTTTAACTTTAGACCATGCACATACTTAAGGAGGTTACTGGGTGAGGTTGGAGCCACGTGAACAATCTTTCAGCCCCGATGACAGCGGAAAATAGACGCATGAGCCAGCATTACTTCACCACCATAAACACCACCGGAGCGAGGACACCTGCCATAAAGAGTATTTTAGGTCTAAGCATTCCTACAGTGACCCTGTTTATAATGTCACACCGTATTGAGTATCAGGTCAGGGCAGGTCGCCCAAAATGTAATTTTTCTTCTAGTCCATCAGTGAAGGGAGCGCACAGAGGATATTCATGTAGCGTTAGAAAGATGTTGGTCCAATAAAATGTGGTCTTTTGGGGTTTGACCCTTTTTTATGATTTGTGTTTTTTTGGTTATTTTACTTTGGTGTCTAGTAACATAGATGTTCCCCTTTTTTGTAATAATACTACATGATATGCAATTTTATACTTAATGGTGTGTACAAAAGTATTTTGAATTAAAAGTGTTGCATTGTTTTCATTAACTTTCTAAAATACCCACACTCAGCCAGGACAGCTTTTTGCAGAATCTTCCCGTTGTTTTGTCATTTGTGATATCGTGTTCAACCGTGATATAACGATAAGCCATTGATACAAAATTGACTGTACACTTGTAGCATGAAGGAAAATAACATGAATTTCTTTTATGTCAATTTGCAGGTTGATACTTGAGAGAGAGGGACCTCGTTCACTCTTCAGAGGACTTGGACCCAACCTTGTGGGTGTGGCACCTTCCAGGTATGTTTAGTATTTCTAACATAGTATTGCCTTCAGTACTCCGGGTGTGTTTCATATCATTGAAACCTTTACGATTCATGGAGTTATACTACGCAGTGTATTTAATGAAGCCAAGAGGAGGAGGAAAAACATGACCCTATTCCTGCATATCACATAACAAGCAGAATGGAGTATGTCAGCACAATCTTTGATACCTTGTAAGACTTTAGAATGAACCACTGTTATCAGGGTTAGCTTGACTTGTTATCTGAGAAAAAAGGAATTTCTGCGTCACATCAAATCTGAGCATACGTTTTTTTTTTTGCTTCTGCTAGATCTTCTAAGCTTTTTTCCCCCCATGCTTCCGGCTCATTCAGAGCTTATGTTGGCAGCAATAATAGCAGGCCGCTTACACAGACATGAATGGAGTTAAAATCTCACAGAAATGCAATTGAAACCTGTGTTTTAAATCCAAGAGGAAATGAGAGGTTTGCCTCTTTCTTTGCTTGGCTGGGTGGGATTGCACAACAGCCTAAGCTGAGTCAATTAAAGGACGCATGAAACAGCAACAACAGCTGGCCCTGGCCAGATGTGACACAGTGTCATGTGACTGTTTATGTTTTTATGTATTAACACAATGGAGTTCCTTTATAGAGACAGTTGAGATCGTGTCTAACCTCCCTCCCTGCGCTGTCTAGATCTCCCTAGTTACATGTGCATCACATGACTACCGTCATCCTCTTCCTGTTGGTTCGTTGTGGTCTCTGTCCCTCTATCTGACTCATCCATTCCACACTCTTATCATCTGTCCCCCTCTCTCTTGCTATATTTGTCTTTTTTTTTTAACCAATATTAATTCATGATTGTCCCCTGGGTCCTTCGCTGTCTGTGCTATCTCAGTCTGTTCAGAGTAGGGCAAATATGCCCTTGAGTGTATCCCGTGGGCTAGTTGTACAGCTGCTTGTACGGTAGCTTGTTTCCTGGTCACAAAAGCTATAGCAGACTGTGCCATAAGAAGATATGATGACATAAGAGGTGAACCTGATGATCTATGTGGCTATATATAACTGGGATATGTCATGGTTTTTAAATACTCTAATTGTCATTAACTTATAAAAAAATACAGGTTTTCATGCAGCAGCTTTTATCTTTAAAGAACATTTTTTCCATCTTTGTTACTTGCCCCTGGTTGTAATGCACTACTGCCGCCAGACAGTGGCAGTACGATTGCTGAAAACTGTTTTTTTATAACAGCCGTTCAAAAACAAAAGAAGAGTGCATAAGGTTCAGGTTATACAGGTGTAGCTTAAAGCCTGTTTTATACTTCTGCGTCTACTCTACACCATAGCATAGGCAGGAGGTTCACGTAGCCCTGTAGTTATGCCGAAGCCTAGCTATGTAGGACGTGCACCTCCTCAAAAATGTAACTAACGCGACACGGTTTTGCGCCATTTGGTCAAGCTCAGTGAAATCACAGCTTTTTTTTTTTTTTTTACTCAATTCACCAGGTAAAGTCTGGGTTGCTAGGTGACAATTATAATTAGGAAACAGCACTGGGAAGCCAAAAAATGCTAATGAGAGCTCGGCCCGCTTGGCAAGCTTCCGATTAGCAACACACATACATTACATGTGCATACAGAACAGCACTTGCACCAGCATCATTCATAACATATCATAAACATACACTTTCAGACCCACACACACATAATTCATCCCCATCTGCAGAACGATTATGTAATGTGTGCATGATCTCAGGGCGTGGACTGAGTGCAGGGAGTGAAGGTCAGGGGTTTAATTCCATTCAGCTGAAATGTTGACTAAATCCTGTGAGTTTAGTTAGTGAGGAAATTAAATAAATTCATGGGAGATAAAGCTGCTACTAAAGCTTTCTATGAGATGAAGACACACATGAAGACACAGACACTGTCGCATGCATGCATTTATAAGTGACCAGGCACACAGAGGCACAGACAACATGTCAGTGGCCTGCTTTTAGTCTGCATATTAGCTTTGCTTAGCTCTAATGTGTGGACAAAGAACTGTACATTTTTATTAGATATTACAGTTAAATTAGTACTTATACATGTGTAAAAAATTTAATATTATGACTTTTCTGTCTTTTGTGTATAGTTCACAAACCTAAAGTTCAAGTTAAGAATCATTTTTCAGAGATATTCTTGTGTTCATCACAACTTTTAGTTTGAAGTATCTTCTGTTTAAACAGTGGAACACATGTTCTACCTTAATAAACTACAAAGCTCTTAATGCTTCTCTTCTGGTTTGTGCTGTTGTAGTTAATCATTAGTCAACTGAATTGGTGCCATGAATTTCTAACCAACCGTGCTCTTTTTTTGCTTCATGGTGTTTTGGCCACAGGGCGATCTACTTTGCGGCCTATTCGACAGCCAAGGAGAAACTCAATGGGGTGCTGGAGCCGGACTCCACCCAGGTGCACATGGTGTCGGCTGGGCTGGCAGGTAAAGATGGCTCCTCCCCCCCTCCCTTTGTCTTTCTGTCATTGTCTGTCGCAGACTGTCATGTCTGTCTGTCTGTCTGTCTGTCTGTCTGTCTGAGCAGTGTAAATCACTGATGGGTTTAATTTAAAAATGTTTTTTAAATAATTATTCAGTTTGTCTTCATAAGACACATTTTTTTTAATCTTTATTCATTCTTTGTCACCATTTAAGAATATCCCCAGAGTTTCACTTCACTCCCCCTTTATCCCCCTTCCTTTCCTTATACATGTGTGGGATAGCTTCAAATTTTAAAAAAATATTTAATTTTCAATGCATGCTAACGCTAACTTATAGTATCTGTTAGAAGATATTTAGTGGCTGTTTCATGTATAGAAATGAACAGAAAACATAGGGGGTTTGTCAGAAAGCACAATTGGAGACTCTCAGGATCAAACTGACCTTGATGACTGTGGTGAAAACTGCCTCACCTAATATGCTGTACAACCAGGACTTGAACAATAAAATGTTCTGAGTTGTGTTTTGCTGTTATTTCTACTACAAATAATTGCAAATTAAAGATTTCAGTATCTGGCATTTGAAGGTGTTAAATGCCTGAGAGTATGCCAGTCACAACTTCTACTGCTACTTGCTCTCTTTTTTCTTTTTATGAGCATCGACTTTCTGTAATAAAAGCCATGTACTCACATATGCAGTCTCTTCACAGTGGTTTTCCAGCCAACCTACCATTCAGGAAACATGAATTTATATGAGCAGTCTAAGACTTTATTGCACCTTAACCCAATGAGACATAGCATTTGTGCTCTTTCATGAGGTCAAATATGCCACTGGTGGTGTTTACACTATAACTGTGCTGTACATGCATGCAGCTTTACAAAGAAGAAAAGCAACATGGTCCTCAGAGTTAAGGTTGTGCTTTCCTCCTCTCTGAATCCCTTTTTCCTCCATGCCCTCTATTTTATTTCTCATTCTCGCCCCCTTTGTTTCCTTTTTAATGCTTTCATTTTGAGGCCTCTCCTGAGGACTTTGTAAATGGTTTAACATCCCAGTTGTCACTTAAACAGTGTGGTCTGGGCCCCCTTCTTTGCTCTGTGTGTATAGAGGAGAGAGCACAGCCCCCAAAGGTCAACCGGGGCCACTGGCACTCAGGCGGACACGTCAGGTAGCACCCCATTTCTTTACACTGGTATGATTAAAAACCATGGTGATTTTTTTGAAATACTACATAGTTCATATTGGTTATTCATTTGTAATGATAATACCATTGCTTATGGCAGTGTGTGTTTCCTGCTGGTGGTTTTAAGGTTTTGTTTATTGTTCAGTCTTGACACACCCCTCCCTCCCCTTAGCCTGTTGTCTGGTTTAATCCACACAGTAAAGGTAAAGTAGTGACACATACTACTGAGGGATTTCTGTTGTCTGCACTAAAGAAATGCTAACCTTGTCACTGCTACAGAAGATTGTCATCAATGTGCTTCATTTTGTCATTTGTTCTCATCCATCAACAACATCAGGATGAGGGGGAGTAAACCATGCATATTCACAGCCTTAGTGACGCAACACCAAAATTTGAATGGACGTCTGGATAATTACTTCCAGATTTGTAGAGTAACTTTGTGGAACCGTTGCCTCTCATGGCCTCCCTTCTGGGAACTGTGGGTTTCCCTTCACTGGAGGGGAGGTGCTCTCCTCCAGCAGTTAATCTAAAGCATGCTTGTCTTTTCTGAATGTAGGTCAACTCCTCTGGAGGAATTGCACGGGTGTCTTGTGTCTATTGAGGCGTTACGATAAACTAAATAAAGCAGCAAGTCCATAGGTAGATGCAGCTCCTCAGAGGTTCGTCTCAATTACTTACAAGCCGGTGTGACTAGTACGTTAGTCTGTATGTGCGGCATATTTATGTTCCTATTGGCTTTATTACCAAACAGGCATTTGTGGCTAGCATCAAGTATGAGAAATACTTCTCATTTGCTTTAATGTCATGGAGTCCTGTGAAAAATCGGCATGAGGACATTTTTATGTCAACATGATGGATGTATCGTGTGCTGTTATGATAACACATAACAGTTATTTGTTGGCACATGGTCACTGAGCTATAAGGATCTTTTTATTGTTTTAAAACAAACATTTAGAATCCAAATTTGAAGCATTAGCAATAAAAACAATAAAAAAAAACTGTCAAAATAGGGCTTCATTTCCTCTGTACTGTTATTGGACAAAAAGCTTGGTCGAGAGACAGGTATTACTATTTAGTAAAACTATTTACTTCATTGAGTCACTTCACTTTATTGATCACTTCATCCTCATGACATCACACATCTCATTCATCTCCATTGTCGAGTGTCGGTTACACCAAACGACAAGGTTAGCATTTCCTCCTGCCTTTTTATCTATGTAACCTTAGACACTTCCAATGATTATGAAGTAAACCTCAGTTTAGATTTTTGTTTTTACTTGTACTGTTACTTGCACTAGTGAGGCAGAGCTGCAGTTTTTGATTGGGTTGGTTTTTTCTGTTAAGCCAACATTTACTTAATCCAAGTTGCATAAATAAGTAAAGGGAGGGATACATCTCAATAAAGTTAATGAAAAAGAAATGTTAAATTCAACATTTCAAATTCGAGGGGATGGATCTAGGGTTGGAATAGAGTTGGGGAAAGATGGAGGAGGAGGTCAATCCTTCTCCTCCACTCTTTTCTTCACCTTGCTGTGCAGTACCAGTGGGTTTGGGTGGGAGGTTGGTGGGGTTTGGGGTGGATGTGACTGCTGCTTGTGTGTGACTGTGGTACAGAAAAGCCTGTGTCTATTTTAGGGCTTTACTGTAAAGCTTTCACCCCTGCGTGATTGGGTGGGAGACCCCCGCCATCTGAGCCCCCCATATCTGCAGGCTTCTAGCTGCAGCGGGGAGGAGCTGGAGGAGCTTTGCCCCTCCCTCGTGAGTACACGCCATAGACGCACTTCCTTCTACTTCCTCTTTTTGTCCTTCTCTCCTTCTTTTCAACAGACCTGTGTCATCCTCTCTTCTTCACGCAGTTGCCTTAACGTAGGGCCGTGTTGCATCGACACACTAGATGTGACACAGGTCTCTTTGTAGACTCGCCCTCATCTTAGCTGTCTTCTGCGAATGGCCATGTTTTATTCTTCTATGTTTCATCTTTTGTATCAGAAACTTCTAGAGAGACGTTGTGTCATCTCATAATGATACAAAATGATTATAAAGTATCAATACACCTTACATCTCAAACTTTACATTGATAAATATCTTCTAGTGTTCCTTTGGAAAAAAAAAAAAAAACAACAACACACAATAGCCATTAAAAACAATATCCCATGAAGATAGCATACACACACTGGCTCCCATTATTCACTTATTCTAGTTTAATTTGAACATTCAGGTATTAAATGGACCTAAATATAAACATTTCCCACCAAGTTAGTCTGCACTAGTCTTATGTCCCTATGTGTACTTCCACTTCAGCCCTGCTGAATAATTGAAGAATCTTTTGAACACAACATTCAATTTGTCTGTTGAAGTTTTGTTTGTGGGGCTAGTGTCCAAGAATGAGACTAAATCAAAGTTACATTTTTTTTTTTTTAAAGAAAAAAATTTAAAAACCTTATTGCTTCACATATTGGACACATTTGTTTGTTTTTTCATTAAAAAAAAGAAGTCATATGGTGTCCTTGCACTAATAGATGATCATGAAATAATAAGTCTGAAGAGGAGTGTACAAAAGCTAGCTAGCTTTTCAGGTCACTCGTGAGAATATTATTATGGATCACATTATTGACAAATTCACCAGAATCGACTTAATTTGAGTTCCTTTTTATTGTGAAAGGTTTCTTGTATCAGGCCAGCAGCTCACAAGTTACATTGTTGAACCAACCATGAGAAAAATTCAGAATGTCAAAAACAAAAAAAACAAAAAAAAGTGTGTTATAGGCTGTAAATTGACACATTTCCATGAATGTTTTTCAAAGCAAATTAAAAGTGTAATATTATTACAAACAAAAAAAATCAGAGCCCCTCTCTTTAAGGTGAGCTCATGTTTTAATTGCAGATGAGATTATTAAGAAGTACCTTCCTCTCATTAGCTCTTTAAAGAAATCAATCAGACGGCTTTGTAATAACAACCTGCCACGGTCAGGCCTGAGATGAATTGAATGTTTGCTTCATTTTCAAATGTTTGAATTCAGATATTTGTTAAAGATGACAGATGAAAGATAGATGAACAATACTCACAGCTGCTGCCTTGATGCACTCTGTTAAGATTCTTTACTTCAAGAACAGAGCTGCTATTTATGTACATATATCTATGTGTATCATTTCACATGAAGAGGATCAATATGGTAATATAAAAAAAGATGCATTGTCAAATCAATACCCTTTTATAGGATCTTATATAAACTCACACATGGTCTCCAGCCATCTGAGCAAGAATGTTTTTTTTAATCTGTTCAAATACTAATAATATATTGAAAAATAAAAACACTGAACTGAGTTGATCCTGTTTAGTGAAGTGCGTCCTCACTGTACTTGTACAATGTGCTTTAGCTGGTTAGATTGTGTTCTTCAAAATGTCTCTGCCTCCTTTTAAAACTCACCTCTTCTCACTTTCCAGGGTTCACCGCCATCACGGCCACCAACCCCATCTGGCTGATCAAAACCCGTCTGCAGCTGGAAACCAGGTGAGGAACCTCAAATATCTGTCCAAAGTTTAGAATATGACTTCAATAATAACGATAACAAAAAAGACATCTCTGTTGGATTTCAATTTAAAGTGTCCGTGTGATTACAGGAACCGTGGCGAGCGGCGAATGAACGCATTTGAGTGCGTGCGGCGGGTGTACCAGATGGACGGCCTGCGAGGTTTCTACAGGGGCATGTCAGCCTCGTATGCTGGCATCTCTGAGACCGTCATCCATTTTGTCATCTATGAGAGCATCAAACGTAAACTGATGGAGGCCAAAGCCCAAGCCAGCATGGACGAAGAGGAGGAGTCGGTGAAAGACGCCTCCGACTTTGTGGGCATGATGCTCGCAGCAGCAACCTCCAAGACCTGTGCCACCTCCCTCGCCTACCCTCACGGTGAGTTCTGTTTTATCATGAATTTTATATTGATTTCTTCTCTTCTTATTGTCAACAAGTTCAATAAAAGACAAAAACGTACAATATGTTAGAAAGCCAAAATCCAACAGGTCTAAGCTAGCTAAGAAGGTACAACACAATGTTTTTTTTAATTAGAACCAGTATGAATAAATATGGTGATGGAGGCAAGCTAAACAAATTATTTTAATTAACTCGCATGGAATTCTTCAACAATTTTCCAGGATGTGATTCTTCCAGATTTTAGAAGAAACAGATGTTATGCTAAATGTTGGTTCAATAAAAACCATTTATCACTTGTTTCAGTTTCTAGCTTTTTTAGTCTAATTGATCTTCGCTGCTCTCAATTTGTAGAGGTGATCCGAACACGGCTACGAGAGGAAGGAAGCAGGTATCGCTCCTTCTTCCAAACTCTGCTGACGGTACCCAGGGAGGAGGGATACGGGGCGCTGTATCGCGGCCTCACCACCCACCTTGTCAGACAAATCCCCAACACGGCCATTATGATGTGCACCTATGAAGTGGTTGTCTACCTGCTTAGTCGGTAGATATGTCCCCTTCGTGTTTTAAAAAAAAAAAGAAAAAAAAAGAGAAAATAACTTTTAGCGAATGACATAGAAGGAGGTCCTTTGGAAGAGCGAGGACAAAATGTCATATTGGAGACCAAAGGAAAACCGAAGATACTCGAGTGGACCAGAAGGAAAAAGGAGGAAGCCCTTTGTTACCATATCAGCATCCAGCTCCCTTCATCTGGAACAGATAGAGGGCGCTACAGTTCACAGGAGAGCAAATACAGTAGGCTAAGGAAGAAGGCCCTGATAGGAGAGACTGAGAAAGAGATTGGGAGAGTAAGGAAGAGATGTAAGCACATTTCAGTGGCCTTTAAGAGAGCGGTTTAATTTGCATCCTTTTTTGTGCGCTGTGTGAACTGTTGTCTTTATCACTTTCAAATGAAGATGATATTGTGAAAGGGGAATGCTTGGAGACAACTGCATTTGACAGGAGAGGTGCTAATAAACTATAGGTCAATTCTATTAATCAAATAACCTCTAATTGGAACTGTTTGTCTGCACTTGCTTCAGTGCAGTGAGACTGCAGTAGGAAGAGATGATGGCGTTTTTAAAGAGTGTTTGAAAGCAGAATGTCAGAAGTAAGTTCGGATTTGAAACGAGGACATCAGTCTTGTTTTATTTGCATCACCCATCTTTGCACTACAAAAAGTGTGCCTTCAAGCATTCCCCTCCGAACAATGCAGTTTATCCCCTCGACGGCCTGATGTTCACACAGCAGTGAGCTGACTGTCCAAACACACGAAAAACACAACTGAGAGTGAAAAACAAGCCACACACACTACCTTATCATGATAAAGAGTAGGTTGAAAATCGGACTTTTGTTCAGTATTTTGATCCTCTATAAACCTGTGCCTGATTGTGACGCACTTCAGATGAAGTTGGCCTCTCACAAACAAGGTCAGCTCCTGGCAGTCACTGCAAATCATATGTGAAAAACACAAGACCAACGGGTCCTTTTGTTTTCAGATGTGAAGTGTGCGATTGTCCTAAAGCCACTACTTGAGTATAATGTGACAGAGTGGGTGGATGTTGATGGAGTTTTATCTTCGCCCCATAAGCTGTTTTGTGTGAGTGTGTGTGAGAGCGTGTGTGTGTGTGTGTTTTTTATGTCCTATGTCTAAGATCACTAAAACTGTGATGAGCTATGTCCAGGGTTGTGCGTGTTTGTGCGTCTGCAGTCATGTGATCCTGCATGTCTGATTCAAATCTACTCCTGCTTCCCTCCACTAAGTATGAATCTTGAAGGACGCTGCCGTTGTGAGCGTGGAAAAGCTTCCTGCAGCTTTCATTCCTGCTCTCCTGACTGTCCTTTCTTCCAGTGGCTTCCAACTGACCTGATAACATGCACTTTTGTGGCCTTTTGGGGCTTGTGCTTTGCATTTTATTGTGTGGACAGTTTGATCTTGTAAATTGTAAAAGAAAAAAAATGTAATACTGTATATCAAAATGGTACTTTGCGCAACTGTTCTTAAAGCAGATATATTGTACAGTTCAGAGTTCTCAGTAGTTGTGAAGGATGTCAATGTGTGTAAATAATATAGATACTGTACATGCATATCAGTTTTTTTTGTTTTTTTAGGCCCATGTGTGATCATGCTGTAGTTTGTATTTGCAAATTTTGTTCTAATTTTTGTGCAATTTAACCTTGTGTTGACATGGACTTTGACATAATGTTGCTTGGCAGTGTTTTTTTTGTATGTTGCTCTAAGCTGTCTTGCAAACATTTGTACGCTCATTTGAGCTAACAAACGCTGCAGGACAAATTCATCCATTAAGTATTTGTGCTGGAGGAGTGCTTGTTAGTCATTTTACAACATTTACAAACAGAAGTATTGCATTTTGTGAAGTGTGGATGTTTCTGTCAATGGTAATGTTAACATGTTTCTTTACAATATCAAGATGGAAGTAACACTGTGATATTTCAAGAACTGAACTCATCTTTCTACAACACTGACAGTACAGAGAATCACAGTAAGCTGGGACTGTTCACAAAACTCAACTTAAGATATAGATTTATTGAGCAATTGCAAATGTATCTGTTACGGAGAAGAGTTGTTGGTAAGGACCAGTCATCCAGTTTCATTTTTCATAAAGCATACGTTTAAAAGTATATTCCTGGGAAAATTGTCACCAAATTTTTTTAAATTTAGCATCCAAGCACCTTATTGAATTTTCCCTTGATTTATTTGAATGTCAATTATAGGAACGTCGTTAAACATGACTATTTCAAAAAAAAAAAAAAAAAAAAATGCCCCTCCCACATCCTCTAAACCCAGCCACTGGTGTCTCAGTGCACAATCTTCACAGAAATGAAGGACATTCTGAACAGTTTCAATATTAAAATAAAAAAAAAGGTTTGCTTATTTCACTGCTTATGAAATATGTGATGCATTCATGTGTAATGATGTTCTTGAACACTTATTTCTTCCCCCTGTTGCATTTTAGAGGCACAATGAGGCCTTGTTTTTATTTTATTTTTAACAAAAAAGTTAATAAAAAATCCACTTGCATCTGAAGGTTCAGACTCTGTGATGTCTTTACTTTTGCATTTTGGTTGGAAGTATTTTGAAGTTTGTAATCCTGAGATTACAAATAATGAAACCATGGCTTGGATAATAATAGGGAGTGCACGGTCACATTAAATCTGTAAAGAAATATGAGTCAGTGATATAACAGCCCGTTACACTTTTTAAAACTCAGTGAAGAAATAGTTCAAACTGTCTGTGTTTACTCACTACCACCGCCAGGAGGAGCCAAATAGCTGCTGATAGAATTGACTTGATAACGAGGTCGATTTTCTTGTTTGACTTTAATTCCATGCTTAATTTACAATTTGTCATGACACAATCAAAATGTAATTATAATAATAATAATAAAAAGGGGTATTTTCTTGCATACACAGGGGCACATGCACACCCACAGATTCAACTGGTAGCCTCCCATTAGCGTTTTGAGTATTTAGATCCACTCATTAAAGCCATTAAGGTCTCTAATACCTGAAGCAAGTTTAATCAATGGATGTGGACTGACTGAAACAGGAATAATCCACCATCAAATATGTCGTGGTCGCTACTTGTCTTTAAAAGAGTCACAACACATTAGTTTATATTGATCCTGTAGCTCTGCTTGGGTCCTCAGCTCAAACGGCACAGCGCACAATCTGACTTTATTACATCTCCAAACACATCAATCAGCCCCATGTTCTTTGACTGATCCAGCCTGAATATCTGTTCTTACAGCTGATCAGTCTATTGATCTTGTGGTCATGTATCTGAATTGACTTCCTCTTAACTGCTCGCTGATTTGTTTATTGATAAAAAAATATATATTTTTGTACCCTCATTCTAGGATGTGAAGAACAGAGGAATAAGGCATAGAGGGTAATGATGCCTTCAGGTGCCCTCGGAATCTAACGGTAATGTAATAACTGTGAAAATGGTTTCTTGTAAGTGAGTATTTAATGTGGTAAAACAAAGAAGAGATCAAAGGCTACAGTTTCAGAGGACGACTTGTGGTTCATTTGAAGTAACATACTTTTGTCTGACTGAGAAAGACATTCAGAGACATGTCTGGTCCTTAAATCATCTGCTGTAAATAGAACACAATAAATGCAAGATTATTATATATAAAAGTATAATATTATAATATTTTCTTCAAGCTAAAGATATGCTTAAAATCAGTTCTTAGTGAAGCATAATCATAAGTGGAAGCAGAAGTGATGTCTGATAAACTGAATTGTGTCAGTGACCGTTTTAGTGTATATCTTTAGATACATCATCATTAAAGATTAAGAAATCATCACACTTTAAATTTGATTTTAAACTCTGGTGTGTTTTTTTTTTTTAATTTAACTGTATTTTATGTGTTTTTCAGTAGCCTACTGTAGATTTAAAATGTAAATGATGTACTTTTAAATGTTTTTAATTGAGGATGCCTTACAACATCAAGCAAAAGGATTACCAAAAGCTAGAGTTTCAGTTACTTTGCCGCTCCAGGTATTAATCATCGTCAAACAAATTGAATCCAAATCTGTTTGATGTAAAAAATAATTTACATTCTCATTGAAACAGTCTTTGTTAACAGATCATCATGCATACAAAATCTAAATATTTATCAGAGGATAACAAATGTCATAGAACTTAAAATACCTTGACATGGGATATGAGTTTTACATTCATAATGTTTTTTTTTGTTAATACAATGAATTCATAAAATTATAAAACACAGGATCACAAAATATGCTTGAAGTTCCCAAAGTAGCCTATTCAACGCTGCATTATCAGCCAGTGTCACTTGCAGGTAAGATTAATATTTGTAGGAGCAGCAGTCGCAACAACCTAAGTAAAAGTGGTTGTAAACAAAGAATCGAATTGTAACTACAGTAATTGTAGATCTTGTAATAACCTACTTAAAAATTGGTCCATTAGGGAGCAGTCGTGTAGTTTCCAAGTATTCATGAACTCACCTCCAGCGCCTGAACCAATCGTGTTACAGCCGAATACTGTGTTGTGGTGGAAGCGACCAATCAGCGCTCAGTCTGCAGAGTAAATGGACACTCAGCATCGGATCCTCATTGCGCTGCCTGGATGTATCGAGCTGGTGTTTAGTGCAACAAAGAAACCGCCTTTACATCTCTGAAACACATGTAAGACCGCTGGAATAACGCTGCTGACATCTGCAGAGAAAGAGGAGAGGCCTCGTTTCTTCTCACCTCGACGAGAAATCCTCACAGAAAAGTGTAGTTTGGGGCCGAGTTGACTTTTTATGTGGTGAGTGTTTCTGTGTTTACACCGGACGAGATGACCACAGGATTTGGAGCACCGGGTTTTATGTAGGCTAGTTGGATAACTCGGTGTTTTCCTTTCAAAAGTGTTGCACTGTTGGTAGACAATATACAGTTTAAGCTATCCAAAAAAAAAAAAAAAAGACTTTTAATTTCTCTCCTTATATGTTACATGGACTGAAGTTCTCACGCTTTATAGCCTACTGTGTTAGAACTATACCTGCCTGTGCCTGTGTCTTCATTTTGACATGGTTACACAGTTCACGGCATTTCCTTGTCCCCTCATCTCTCACCACACAGTAATGTGAGTGAAAGTTTCCCTAATGTTTGACGATATGAATGTGTTGTTCAGTGGTTTGAGTGTGTGTAGGGGATGTATCAGGCATAGTGTTGAGCAACGAGGAAATGTTACTCAGTTGCTTTAAGCATGTAAATCCTTGTGACTGGATGGCTTATTTTGTGAAGTAAAAGTGGCTCCCCTGGCAGCGATGAGTTCTCTCCTGCATCTTCTTCACCTTGACCTTTACTCAGCTCAGATGGGTCAGGTGACAAGAGAGCAGGTGGCAAGAGCAGCGAGGGGATGAGCAGAACGAAGAGCAGAGGAGTGGAGAAAGGTGAGAGAGCAAGAAGAGAGGAAGGTGAGCACACCGGGGGAACTCCTCCTCACGTGTACCAGGTGCAGCGTCGCCTCATTTGGTTCGCTAACTAGTATCCGACAAAGAAAGATGTCTGGTGGAGTATGCAGGTTGATGGATGACCTGTCAGGATAAAGGAGAGAGAGAGAGAGAGAGAGAGAGATGCAGGAGGAGGAGGAGGGGATGGAGCATACACCGGTTACAGAGGGTCATTTAATCTGTCTGCTGGATCTGACCAGCCGCTCACTACAGGAGATCAGGCTGCTCACCGGCTGTGTCTCTTAATTGTTTTCTTTCACGTCCTGACTCTCCTTTTTCTGCTCTCACAACACTCCCCCTGTAGATATCAGGAAACGTCTCTTATCAAACCCCTCAGCGTTTTCCTTCACATTTAGTTGCAGGTATCCTTCCCCTGTTCGACTCTCCTGCCTGACTTTTTTGACTCTTTACTTATTTTCATTGCTGACACTTCAGTTGTCCCCGATACTTTAATTTGAAAGGAAAATCAACCGCGAGAGAGCCTCAATACCTCCTCTGACAGTATTTTGTTATTTAGCAGACAGCTCAAACATTGTAACTGATATTTTAACATCTCTCCCTGAATGACACTTTCTTTGTGCTTCTTAGAAAATGTCAGAAACTTCAACTGACGTTAAGTTGTTTCACAAAGTTCCACCAAAAGCATTTGTTTCAAAGGCTGGTGTTTATAAATGACGTTTTCTATTGGCGTGTCACATGTTATATTACAAATGCTACTTAATGCTACAATGCTATGATGAGTTAATGTGGCCTCTATATGCGATGAAAGCCGACGCTAAACATTTTGGTTAATAACATTAAAGACAAATGATTGGTCTGAGATAAACATTGAATTGTCACCTCTGCAACAAGAGCCATCCTGCTCGAAACCATTTTTAATATCAATACTGGCCGCAGTTTTAAAATTCACTCAAATGTTTGACGTACAGACGTTCATGTTTTTTCTTTGCTAGGAAGATGATCAAAGATGAGTTACAAATGCTACTTAATGCTACAATATCGGCCGATTCTAGCACATGCAGTCACTGTTGGTATCGGCTGATTTGAAGCTATCAGTTCTCTTTTACCCGACGAGTGAGCTGTATGGATTACAACAAACATTATCACTCTCCAGAGTGTCAGGCGGTGATCTACGTAGATGTGCATTTACTTTCAAGTTGAGTGACCGTCTTGTCTTGGTTACACTGTAGATCTTTTGATAAGAAGTGTTTGATAACTGCATTTGAGGGATCATCACAAATAAATCTATATCTACATCTATCTATCTATCTAGTGTAAATCTAAATCTATCTCATATCCAGTATAGATCTAAGGAATATATCACCATCACATCTCTTTCCCCCTCCCCGACATTGATATTAATATCTCCACTAAAATCCCATATGGGTCGGCCCTTGTCTGGTACCAAAAACAAGTCAACTCAGGCCGCGCTGTATATGCTGGGAAATGAGGCGAAGACTTAACGATTCAACTGCATAAGGGGGCATCAATTTGTCGACTCAATTCTAAATGCTTTCAATTAACACACTTCAATTTCAACTGCGTTAGACTCTTTTTTTTTTCTGAAACAGCAATTTTCAAAAACATTTTTCCTGTTTGCTCCTACAATTTCAGCTAACTTGATCACAAATCCAGATTTTAGCCCTTTTTTTATTCTTGGTGTAAAAAAAAAAAAACAAAAATCCCCGACTGCTTGGCTCAAATGTGTCCCTCCCTTTCTGTCTTTATTTCTAGCTTTTCCCCTCCCCTTTAAAAACAATTGTCCTCTTGCCCTCTTTATCCTTCCAGAGGGACTAATAAGCAGCATTATGAGTCAATGTGAGGAGAGAAGCAGATGGGATTCAGCGTGTAGGCCAGATAAGGGTTTTTTAACTTCGCTGTGTCTTATCACACCCTGTCACTGCTACTTAAAGTGAACAGATACTGCCTGCAATTATGGAAAGAGCAGTTCAAATCCTTAAACGGAGATAGTGGAGATGTTGTCTGCGGCATGTTGGAATAATCCCTGAACAAAGCTCTGCCAGTGATGTCAGAATTTAAATGGAGAGATGGCTGACTT